ACAGGGCAGACCCTACAATGAGAGACTGCGGGACCTGAACCTGTTCAGCCTCCACAAGAGAAGGCTGAGGGGGGACCTGGTGACCGTCTATAAACTCACTAGGGGGGACCAGAAGGGTTTGGAAGAGACCTTGTTTGCCCTAGCGCCCCCTGGCATGACAAGGAATAACGACCACAAGTTGTTGGAGAGTAGGTTTAGATTAGACATCCGTAAGAACTACTTCATGGTCAGGGTGGCTAGGATCTGGAATCAACTTCCAAGGGAAGTGGTGCTGGCTCCTACCCTGGGGGTCTTTAAGAAGAGGCTTCATGCCTACCTGGCTGGGATCATTTGAGCCCAATTTTTTTTTTCTCCTGCCCTGGCAGGGGGTTGGACTTGAGGATCTATAAGGTCCCTTCCCACCCTACTTCTATGATTCTATGAAGGCAGACATGGTGAAAGAGTCCCCATTGGCACAAAATGCAGCAGCTCAACTGAAGATAGTGTGAGCCCATTGCCTTAACATTTTTCTCCGCTGTACTCCCTGTTGAACAGAATTGTGATCAAGGTTTCTATATTGATATTCAGAGTCCTCCGTTGAGATGGTTTGGATAGAGATGCCCAAGGGCTTCTGACCTTTTGTGACAGCTACATTATATGGGAACAAGAAATTGGTTAGGGAATGGTTTGTGAATGCGGAAGTGAGGACTTTCAGAGGAGCAGGGCTGAGCCCAACATAAAATTGTAGTGACTAGTTTTGCAACAGAACTGCTATTGTAGACTTGATTGTCTATCAAGAAGTATTGTCCTCCTGCAATTCTGTTCAAGCACCTTCTTCTTGTCAGCACATAGGATTAATGATGACTGTTGCTGGTTTCTAACATGTGGATGGTGCTCACATGCTATACAGGCAACTACCAAAAATATACTGTATTTTCTGTTTTCTATTGTATATGACCTTCCTTCTCCCCCCTCCCCTCCCCTGAGGTCTAAAATTAAGGTGTGTCTTGTACACTAAAGATAATATAACAGAAAATAACTGAAATCATCATAAAGATTGACCAAAATTCAAATGTATGCTAATTCCCCCCCCCCCAAAAAATGATTTTATCCTTTGTGGGGTTGGGGAGAGGTTCTGGATAGTCTCTTTCATCTCTAATTTCTGAGATTCTTACACTTTAAATGGAAATGGATCTGAGACAGACAACATTTTTATAGGGAAATGTTGGTTTTCATTAGTCAGTCATTCGTCTCTCCTGAAGAAGGGTAAACTAAAAAATATTCTATCTTGTCTTATCTGCATTTTGTCACTGTATGTTCTCCTTTAATAAGGTACTGAGAACAGAAAATTCATCCTTGAAAAACGAGGTTCAAAATCTGCAGAGTCAGCAGCTGGATCAGGTAATTTATTTATTTATTTATTTAAATTTTAGGGAATGCATGTCCCATGCAGAGTGACAGATGTTACGGTTGGACTGCCAGATGCTCTGAAGGTTTGGAAATGCCTTGTCTGAAATTGGCCAGCAAAGTGACTCTGCTCCGGTATTTCAGGAAGAGTAGTGTCCCTACAAGGGATTGTTACCCAAAGGAGTAGCCGGGGCTGTGTGCTCCCCAAACATTCAGCTGGGAAAACTGTTTTTGCCCTGAAAGTGGGCTTTGTAAGCAAGTTGGCTGGAAGTGGACCTGCAAGTTCAGAAAGGTTGGAACTGCTGATGTAGCAGATGAAGCTGTGTCAGTTGTTCCATGAGCTCACATGGCAGAAATCTGGTGGTGGATCTGCAGTTTCCAGTGCTGCTGCCTGTTTGATGGATTTTTCTAAATCCCTGTGTAAACAAAAGGTGCAAACTGAAATACTAAGGTTGCGTAGTTAAGTGGTTGGCTATTGGGAAATGCTCAGTTTGAGGTTGCTCACGTAGCCCTCATTTGGATGCCACCTGCTTAAGTATTATGGTGACATCTGATTTTCATGAACTCAACATTAATGTTGTTTTAATGCATCTTTTGGGCCAGTATATGTTTACGTGTTGTCATCCTTACTCTTCAGACCATTGATCTGCTTGCTTAATGACACTAGCCTCTACCACAGCAACCTATGGCAGAGCACTTTTCTTCTAACGTCAAATTCCTGGCAGGGGAGCCTATACAACAGGGGTGGCAAGATGCAGCCTGCGGGCTGGATGCAGCCCACCAAGCCATTCTATCTGGCCCATGGGGCCCCTAAAAAATTTAGAAAATTAATATTTAGCTGCCCCCAGCTGCCTGTCATGCAGCCCTTGATGGCTTGCCAAAATTCAGTAAGCGGCCGTCCACCCAGAATAACTGCCGGCCCCTGCTATACAAATACACCTATGCTTTTCATCACATTTTGAATTGTTATAAGCATACAGTATCTGTCCTGAGTCTTCCTTGCTTTAATAGGTAAGGTGCAGTCCTTACAAAAGGTGTTAAAACTTGCAGTACTTACAAAAAAAAAAAAAAAACAACAAATGCAGTGCATTCCAGCTTAATTAAACCGGGCATCAAAGGAGTCTTTCTGCCTCTTGTTCTCCTCTGCACATGAACTTCCGGCCAAGTCCTTCCCAAAGCTCAAGCAGACAGTTTACGCTCAATACGCTTAATCTAGCAATGATGGTCAGTGCACTTAATCAGTCCTTTTCTTACTGCACATCTTGATTTTTTTTTTTTTTTTAATGCTTTTCACTTGCAAAGCAGTGTGACCTGCACTTGGATACAGAATTCTTGATTGCACTGGGAATGCCACAGTCTATGCTTTGTACAGTGTACTGGCAGCGTAAGGCCTAGGGAGAGTCAGAATGCTGAGTCAGTTATTGACATATGCTTTTAATTGCATCTCTTAACCAAGGCCAGAGCTTGACTGTGCCTTGCCAGTTGACAGCTCGGGGGAAGGTTATCAATGAGCCTGCTGCAGTAACGGTTCTGTGTTGTGAAGACCCAGCTGAGATCTCTGGGTTAATTTCACAGATACTTCCCAATGCCCATTGCATGGCAAATCCTTTGGGCTGCTAAAAACTCCAAGCCCAGATCTTAAACCAGTTGTCTAGAGACTTCAGTGTTTTCTGTCCCACTTAACCAGCTCCTGAGCTTGCTGTTCCTACCCCTCCCCACTGTCATCTGTAACATTTGAATTTGTCAGTCTTTCTGAAATAATTTTATTTTGCATGACTTTCTTTCCAGCCATTGGTGGAAGAACTTCAGAAAACGTAAGCATTTTTAATCTGTCTCTGAGGTTAACCTTGCCCCTCCTGTTTCCAAACCGGTTTTGCTCTCCCTCCTCTTAGCGTTCAGTTTTAACTGGAAGATAGTGTGTGCATGGTTGGCTCTGCACAGTGCATCAGACTGAACCAATGCTTTGGAAAATTCAGTAACCTGTTTACTGAATTAAGTTTGTATGGAGCTGATTGCAGTAAAACCCGCTCTAGCATTGCCAACCAAGGCTGTGAGGTTTCTACACCTGTCCTTGGGCCAAAGAGCTGGAATTAGATATGAAATTGTTTAAATTTTTGACTGGTGCTCTAATGTGCTCTCTAAAAAGAGCATGTCTATTTTCTGAACATATAATTTAAGGAAAATACAGCTGTAAGTATTTTGGAGTGTTTGCGAGAACTTTGTATCTGAAGCTGGGCCAGGAACAGTCTAGTAGAGCAGCTTCTGATTTTATCTAACAACCCAAGCCAGGTACCTACCAACTGTACACAACTACTTACTCAAACTTAAACTTGTGCTATGCTAGCCCATATACCTTCCTTTAGTGGCACCTTGGCTTTGCCCTATCATTTGTGTTGGTTTTCAAACTTGGATTCTAAACTTTTGTTGCAGAATGTCATTAACATTTGGACAGCACATAGTGTGCTGGGGCCAGTTAAATCTCCCCGGGGCTACTGTTAAGTTAATATTAATGAAGTTGGTATACTATAGTTCAGCTCACTTTTGATGCTTTTTCTCCTTTTTAAGAATCCATGAGAAGGATGGAAAGATAAAATCAGTGGAAGAACTCCTGCAGGCTGAAATCCTCAAAGTTGCAAACAAGGAGAAGACAGTTCAGGTACTGCTGAAGAAGCACTGTGTGCCTGTGTGTGTCTATACCACTAACTTCCATCTGTTTGTCCTTACATTGCATTTGATAGTAGTTGACTTTTTTTAGTATCCATTTTTGTGGTGTTTTGTGTTTCCATTGTCCAATCCTGTCTGTTTTGTCCTTGAAAAGGCTTTGGCACAGGAAATAGAGACTCTGAAAGAAGAAATAGGAAATTCCAAGCTTGAGATGGAAAAACAGGTAAAATTTCTAAGAGGCAGAAATGAGACAGCTTTGTAGTTGATGCTTTGCTTATTAGCATTTCTGTTCCTAGTACATGTTTTCTATTTTACTGGGGATTGTCACCGAGGGAAGCACGTTCTTATGGTGGGCATAAATTATAGCAGGTACAATTTTGCTTCATCTAGTATGGCATCTTCCAGAGACCCCAGAATTTGGGCTCAAGTGAGAGCCTTGGCCTGAGCTTCTGTAACTCAGTCTGAACCACTTGTTCCAGCTGGAGTGGTTGTGCACCAGTCTTGTAGTGGTGCCATGGTGCCCTCTAGTGCTCCATTGGGCAGTTCCTGTCTGACCACAAATGGGAGGGGGACTTATTGTCCTTTTGCTGCAGCTGTGAACAAAGCTACTGGCTAAGTCTCTTCCCTCAGTCAGTTATCTTCTTCCTCTCTAGGGCCAGAGGGTCTGTCCTTTTATATTTGCTTTCCAGATAAATGGACCAACCTTATCTAGCAGCTAAAGAAGTCTTTTAAAGAGTGAGTTATCACTCCAGATGCAGGGAATGATGGCAAATCAGGCTAGATGTTACAGTTTTATCTAATGCCTGTTGTCCCACACAGTGTCCTATCAGGAAGCTTGCTTGATATTTTTTGCTTGCATTTCCCTTTTCTTGATTTTTTTTTTTTATCCCTTTAGTTCTAGTGACAGCCTAATAGGCTCTTCTTTCTTCATCTCTTCCCTTTGGTGCTCACTTTGGGATTTTTCCTTTTTGTTTATACACACTTCTCTGCTGTTACCTTTTCTGCTATATCAGTCTTTCCAAGTCCTGACAGTCTCATTTTTCCTCAACTCCCTCTGGTGTGTTGGTGCCCTGTGTTAATGTACTGCGCAGTAGCAGTGTCATGAGAGCCATATGATAGGGATGCGTACTCCATGAAGTGGTGCTCTAGGACCCCATATTTGTGCATATGCAGCCCTTGGCTACCACAAGCCAATAGACTTTTGGGAGACTTTGAAGTTATTGGTTCTCTGTGGGGCAGTAGTGGGAGAATGCAAACGAACTGTTTTGGCTACCCTCTTCATGCTGGCAATGAAAGGACTGAAACTCCCAACAGTGGTTTGCTCTGAAGCGTAGGGTTTTTTTCTATATTAGACAAAAATAATATAAGGGTACCTGGGGGTGGGCACAGTATCCCCTACTGGAGTCAGTAGGCTTGAGCTGGCAGGTTACTTTTCTAGGTCTGCTCCACCTTGGATCATGGGCCAAAAACTGATTTGGTTTTGTATAGCATTCAGAAGGAGCGTTCCCTCTCAGGTTTATCTTTCCCCTCCACCCCGCAGAAAGCTAAGTGCTCGGTTTGGTGTTCGCTCTCACAACAGAGACTTAAATGGTAGCACTGTGACAGTGCTGTATGTGGGGCCTTTTCTCTTCCTGTGCTCCAGGGGATGATTGAAATGCATTAACATTAAGTAGTGAAATCATTCATTTTGTAAACTTTTCATTCCCCTCCTTGCCCCCCAACCTGCATTTTGGGTTTACAGTGTTAGTGCCCATTTGAACAGTTTCTAATGGTCTCATCTTCCCAAGCTTTGTCCCAAAGCGATATGAATAGTTGATGTCTCTTACCTATTTGACATGGGTAGTCTGTACTGCTTTTGGAGTGATTCAATTCCTGAATGTTGTCTTTAGGTGTCGTTTGCTTCACAAGTCAAGGACCTTCAGATTCTGTAAGTATGGCTGCTAACAGCAGTGCCCAATCTGTTCAATCATCCTCTTTCCTTCTATGCTGTGATGTGGTTGGAGTTGAAATGTTCTTGTTTGTCTCTTCTGGTCTGTGTGAAATGAGTGAGTGGTATTTACTCCATTCCTAATGGCCATGTGACCTTGTTATATGCACATAGTCACCCTTGTGTGCTTCTGCTGAAACGGCAGTAAGGCTGTCTATTCTGGAGTGGGCGCACATCTAGAGTGTGGGCTCCATAAATGATGCATTCAAGACTGAAAGCATGTTGGCAGGACAGCATGGGACACCTATGTGGCTGCTATCTATTCTGTATTACTGGAGAAATAGGATATAAATATCCTGGGCTGTTTTGTCTCCACCCTTCTCAGTCTGAAAGGTGCTGGCAGAATACGTTTTGCAAGGAGAAAGAACGTATGTGGAATCCCTGCAGTGCAGATGTTGTCCTTTTTGATATCATGAGCTGAGCCATAGATCCAAGGGCACCTTTCAGGCTGCCTGCTATAGTAGTGTGAACTGAAGAGTTCTCACACATTTATTTTCCTCTGGCAAGCAGCGGTGGAGCCTTTGGTCATGTCAGCCACTCTTGTTTGTACCTTATTGCAAAGTTCTAGTTTTCTTCCAGATGATAAAGGCTTTTTTTGTCATAATGGTACAGACTGAAGGGGAAGGACGAGCACATGAGAACTATGGAGGCCTTATTGGAAGAGAAGCAGAAAGAGATTGCCAAGAAAGGAGAATGGTTGCAGGTAAACTTCTTTTTCTTTTTTTGTTATCCAGTGAAAAGCATCTAAATCTAAACACAGAACTTAAATACACACCATGCACTCATCTCCTTTGTTTTTCTATCCCAAGGGCCAGCAGAATACCATTGCACAACTGACCAGTAAAGTTCAGGAGCTAGAACAATGGAACTTGCAACAGCTACAGCAGGTATCGGCTGCAGAGAGAGATCATCTGGCAACAGCTAGGGTTTTTGTGTTGATTGTTGGGTGTTTTTTGCTTGTTTTTTGTTTTGGGGTTTTTTGACTTTTTTTTCACGTGAACCAGATTTTTTTTGCCTCTACCCAGGCCTCTTTCAGAGCTTTGTCTTGGCTTAATTTCTATCCAATCGACTGGTGTGAAAAGGGGTACATGGGCATGCCTTCTGGCTCAGGGGGGTTTTGAACAAAGGCAAGGATATAAAAATAACAGACTGAGGGAGTATTTTCATGATGCTCCATTGATATATGCTCTCAGGCAGAACACCAGTAGGGATGGTAACAGTGGCCTGAAGCCTTTATGACTTCACTGCTGTTAATCCCTGCTTTTTCACACCTCTAGGCTGGATTGCAGTAAAGTGATCTGCAAAGGTAGCCCTAGGCAGGGCACTTCATGGCCTCAGCTATTGCAGGAGGTAACTGCTTGCTGTTTAAGTGGGTCAGGCTGACATCTGAGCTCTCTCTCTCTAGAATCATTCTCCAGCTGCCCTTCAGTGTTTGTCTCTATAGTCTGGGCCTCTCCCCTTTGATCTGCCACAGAAGTTGTTTGGCTGGAATGTTGTCCCCTTTGTTAGACTCAAGGGCAGGCAGTGGCCTGTCCTCAGGGATGAAGTGGAGCTCTTCAGACTGAAAGGGTACATTCATGTGGGAGCTAGTTCATGTTTTCTGGGGCGCAAGAAGTGGTGCTAAAGATGAATTCTTTCCACATCGTAAGTTGGGCAGATGGCCATAGAGGAAACTTATCCTACCCATGGGTGAATGTGATGGAAATGGGAGTGCAGATTTTAGGCCAGCTGGCATCAGATGTGCATGTTTGCAGTTTGCTGCAATGCACTCCAGTGCGCAATTAGAGCAGTGTAACTTTCTGAATGTAACTGACCTAAAACACATCTGGTCTGGTGGTGGTGCCACTTGTTCAGACCACATGCCCCTTGTAATATAAATGCTCACTGTTAGTTTGAACCCTTTTCTGTTATTGCAACAGATCCAAACATCTCCTCTCTCTTTTAAGGTATCAGCTGCATCACAAGCCCAGGATCTGGAAAACCTGTGAGTATGGGTAGCCAGAAATGTTCTCTGCTGTGCCTTTTGCTGTGGGATTTGTGTTGGCTATAACAGGAATTGGTGCTGATGGTGATGCATCAGGCGGCCTACCCACTGCCTCCTAGAACAACAAATGCCTGCTTGTCTGATTGGCCTGACTAAATAATAGCAATGCGTACCCAGAGCAGAAGAGAGGAGATCCTAAAGGATTCCTTTTCCTGCACCAAAATCTATCCTCACTGCTTGTATCTACTTTGTGATCAGCACTTCTGCTTTTCAGTTGCTTTCCTCTCTACCATTCATTAAGTATATCAAGTGGTTTATCTTTGACAGTGTCCTGAGTCTATGCAACTTGAGAGATGGCAAGAGATGCAGATGGCTAGTATAAAGCCTTAAGGTTCATTCTAAGGCAGTAGCACTCTGGTCCCTGTTTTGTAAAGGGATATTACTGTGTTCTCCATTGTCGATGTAATTTTACTCTCATTACTTGTGATAATGTTGTCTAATATTAAGATGGATAATGAACCTGTGCATTTCAGAGGCGGCTGATTTAAAAGCCTTAGACTCAGATGGGTGAACATGTCATCTGACTGGTCTTTCTGGAGAGACCTTGCCCCCTGCATCTTGATCCCAGCAAGAGA